AATTACTAGGCTGAAAGTGTCATTGCAACCTCTGCAGACTTGCTGCTTGTCCTGAGTGCTAGCACATGGATTAGGGACAGAGGCGTGCTCTTAGGACACTGCGAGTTCTTCTCAGAGACAGTATGGCAGCAAAGTACCTGAGTAGAACTGCCACTGTTCCACTTTATCTTTCAGCAAACTCCTAGGTTCAAGTAGCCTTGGTTAAAAAATGACATAATTAGAAAGGAACCAGTTTGACGCTATACTAATATAGTATTTTTAAAAGGAGGTAAGAAACATAAATAAAAAAAAAACAGAATCTACAACAGAAAAATTATGTTAGGAAGCAGAAGAAAATTTCAAACAAACACATCTCCATGAGCTTGAAGCATTAAATAAAACACGCTATCTTCAAAACAAGAACTCAAATAAGTATATACAACAGCTCAAAAAGCAATGATAAGACAATAATAGGACTTGAAGAATATCAGGGGCCTTAAAAAGAAAAACAGGAGAAAAATAAAACCATTATAGAAATGAAAGAAATATCAGAGTAGCAAAAAGTAAAATGGATAGCACTGCAGAGTCATGAAGGATGGAGCTTGAGAAAAATAAAACAAAATAAAATAAAAAAGAATACAGATCAAAATGTTGCAGAAAAAATAACTGTTGAAGATGAATGTGATCCATAATAAACATAATTAGTGCCTCTGAAGAAGAGAATAAAACAAGTGGAACAAAAATATTATCAGAAATCAATAAAAATTTTCCTAAAATAAAACCTGCAGTAACTCATGAACTTTAGCACCCATGAGTCCTTATTGAAAAAATAACTCAATCAATTAGTCTAACAAAGCAAGAGATGAATCGAGGTAGAGAACCCAGGAATGAGGCTGCCATGTTAGGAAAGAAATTATGATTAGAAAACAAGGTGAGAGTGTAAATCTTCACAGTGTAGAAATAATGTAATTGGAGTAGGAAGAGAAAGTGAGACAAAAAATATGTCTATTCTTTGAAAGATGAAGGAAGCTATAGATTTTTAGGACATTATTTAATGTTATTGTCAGTAGCTCAGTTGAGCTGGGAAAGGGAGCTGAGCTGTCAAGGGTCAGAGTAGCTGATTAAAGCAACAAGGCAAAAATGAAAGAGGGAAGCCTTTAATCACTTACTGTGGTGATCTATGCAAGTGTTTAAAAAGCAGAGAAAATGCCCATGTCCCCTGTTCCATTTCGCTATGGAAGGGCACACTGGTGCAGAGTCAACATGGGTCAACACAGTTGTAGGGGTTGACTTACTGTTGAGGAAACCCTTGGCATTGGGGGAAGGGCGAGGGGGGAAGGTTAGGAGTGGAAAGTGCTGGGTGCTAGTCAGAGTGGGCAGAAGTATCTTCAAGGTCTCCCCTTATCCCCAAGGAGGCCTTGGCAGAGACTCCTGAAGAGGCCTTCTGCCAAGGCCTCACATAAAGAGACCTAGGAATGAAGGCTTTGAGGCTAGGAATGCAAATATGTGAAAATGTGAAGAACATGACCCCACCAGGGAGCCTGAGACCTTGACTGCAGCTCTCCTCAGAGGCTGCAATGCATTGGCCATGCACGGAGTCTAGAGTTGGGGGTGCAGCTTCCCTGGTGAGGCCTGCCAGGCAAAACCTTTGTAATTGCCTATATTCAAGCCTGAAAAGTCACATATAGGTTTTTTTAACCAGGAGCAGGATTCCTCAGTTATAAAGATAACTAGTAATAAAACTAAAATCTGTAATTAGTCTAAGTAGAAAATGGGAAATTAGTAATGTAAACTTCATGTGAGCTGTTTGTTCATTGTTCATTGTTGTATTCCCAGACCTAGCACAATGCCTGGCATATAGTAAATACTCTGAAATATTGGTGGATTAATTTATGAACATTGTATAATGAGCAACATAGTGTGCCTAAAAAACGGACAGATACCAGGCAAATGGTAACAACAGCAACAGGGGTTTCAGAATTGCTATTAGATAAGGTAGGCATAGGATAAGATAGATTTCAAAGCAAAAACTATTTGAGAGTCATAGAAAGTTACTTATAAAGATGATTGGTACATCCTCAAGAAAGATGTAATTGTCATGAACATTCATGCACAAAATAACATCAGGGTTCATAGGGCAGGAAATGGTAGAAAATATCCACTCAATAAATTTTTATTGAATACCCACTATATGCCACAAAATAGGAAAACCATTGTCCCATGAATATAAACTCAGGAATTCTAAATACAGTCATGTGCCGCATAATGACATTTCAGTCAATGACAGACCACATATGCAACAGTGGTCCCATGAGATTAGTCTCATATAGCCTAGGTGTGTAGTAGTCCATACCATCTCAGTTTGTGTAAGTACACTCTATGATGTTTGCATAAGGAAGAAATCATCTGGCGACTCATTTCTTGTAATGTATCCCTGTCGTTACTCGATGCATAACTGTAAAATACGAACAGATAGATCACAAACATATTAAAAGAATAATATAGCATGACCAAAATGAATTTTGTTTTTGCAATACAAATGTAGTTTAGTATTAGGAATTCTATTAATATTATCCAACCTGTTAATAATAGGAAAGGACAAAACTATATATCAGAAAACATTTAACAAAATACAATGTCTTTCTGACTGTTTTTAATCTCTCAATAAAATGAGAACAAATGAATACTACCATTAGATATATATGTCACTTACTGGCTTTATATGTGCAGGTGTGTGTATGTGTGTTTATATTTGTGTTTAAACACACATATATACATATCTCCAAATTCAGTAGAGTGCTAAACGGCAAAATTTTTAAAGCTTTCTATAATTAAAATAATGAATAAGACAAAGATGTCCACTATTATTTAATATTGTTGTGGATATTAGCTAATGCCTTCACACAAGAGAAACAGTATATAAATATTAAGGAAGATTCAAAATAGTTGAATATACCTGGAAAAAACAGAAGAGTTAACTAAAAATAGTATAAGGAACAATTAGTGCATCTAACAAGGAGGCTTGTTACAAAAATATAATACCAGTAGCTTATTATATATAAACAAAAACTTGTTAGAAAATAGAAAAAAGTTGCTATTTATAGTAGCAACATGAAACTTATAAACACTGAGAAATAAACCTAACAAGAAATCTGCATGACCCACATGAGAATAAAAGAGACTTGAAAAATGGAAGTGTATTGTGGTATGGGATAGGAGACTGAATACTATAAAAACTTTAGTTCTCTTTAGATTAACTGTAAATTCACTAAAATAGTCAAAAGTTGTTATTGTTTTCTAATCTACCAAGTTCTTTCTAAAGTTTACATGACAATTAAGTATAAGAATAGCCAGGAAAGTTTCTGAGAAAAGAAAAATAAAGCAAGTGGAGGGACAAATAAAATTGCTAATCAGCATATGATAAGCAGTGTTACCACACTGAGTTGATCTAATGTTCGCTGAAAGCAAAGATGTTTTTATTAACTTGTGTTATGGAAAAATAATGGATTTACATTTACTTTAAAATATCAAATTATTAAAGACAATTTGTGTCTCTCCATAACTACTTTCTTGAATTCCAATTCATTCACTGACCTAGAATGCCAGGTTAAATAAATTGTGAATAGTTTGAGTGATTCTTTTTTTTGCATAACTGCTCTATCATTTGGATTGTACTATTAAAAAAAAAATCACTATTTTCAAGAATCATTTAAAATTGTAATTTTTTATGTCTAGCTGTATTGGAGGCATTAACTCTGTTTACTTCCTTTATAGGCTCCTCCTGATGTAAAAGATTGCTGTTTTATTTTTACTTTAGTTCTAGGAATTTAGTTTTAGGAATTTAGCTGTAATCAATCCACATTCAGTTGTGAAACCAATAAGTTGCTTCTCATGTTAGCCCTGTGCTGACAGGCTATTTAACTTGAATATGATGTTCTGTCTAATTGTACTCCCTGCCCTAGATTTTTGGCAGACTGTTCAGTGTAGGATTTTCAGATTGTTTTCTTTAGAACCCACAGTTCCAGAGGTGCTTGAGGAATTATTCAAAATATTGAATTTCTATTTAATTTTATGTATGTATCTTAAACTACGTAAAAGCCTGTGATGTAAAAATGATAGACATGCACGTTCAAACTTGTGGTATAATAGAGACAACTGCTGTGTTCCCCAGGTTAACTCACTCTTTACATAACTCAAAATAAAGCTTTTCCTGCTTTATTCATGTACTTAAACTTCTTAGAAATGTACATTAATTAGGAAGGTTGTGATTCTGGGCTTGTCACTTTAAATATCCAGCTAAGAATGTACACTAAGAGTGCTTAACGAGAATTGGCAAACCCGCGACTTGTGTTTCTCTATACATATTTATCTTCTGATATATTAAGCAGGATCAAAATAGCACATTTTTCAACTACTTAGCCAAATAGGGATTATTTTGATTAATATTATCTTCACTACCAACTGTGTAGTGAAGTTGTTTCACTACACACAGCTGTAAAACAATCTAATAATTGTGGATATATGAAAACTGAACCTTTTTCCATTTGGTGATATATTAACAGAGACATACAGGAAAGGGATCATGACTGGTCAGTAAATCAAATTTTCTAAATAAAATATATTGTGGATAGGGGGTTAAAATTTTGTTAGGACCCTGTGCTGAAAATCATTAATTATAAAATAAAGTTTGACTCCAGAAAACAGAGCAGTGTTAGACTTGAGGCGTCATAGAGGCACGAAGTGCTTAAGATCCAGGAAACTAGTGTTCCAGCTCTGCTTTGGCTGGCCCTGGGGCTTGCAGGAAGTCACTTAATTTTTCATAGCTTCCGTTTACTGCTCCACTGTCTTCACAAGATTACTTTGGAAAGTTAGTGTAACTGAAGTTGATTTGAAAAATATTGTGTTATATAAACTGTTATAATTTCTGATATATTTAGTTATAATTAGGTAGCATTTTTCCTTCTTCCCGATTCTATGCATGTTTTTATATTCTTTTTTTTCCCCAAATGTTCATTCCTTAGGGCATTACACTAGAAGAGTTTGACAGATTATCTTTCAATATGATTTTAATGAGCCCTCCCTGTCAGCCATTCACAAGGTATGTATAATAAATATTGCTCTGTTGAGGAAGAGTACTTTTGAAGGACTCAATAAATCAAATCATACCATAGTTTCAAGCATAAACACTTTGAAGTCCATCAGCTGCATTTTCATAGTTTTGAAATTTTATAATTCTTTTTATCTACTTATATTTATAATTCAGCATTAATCTAAAGGAAATAGCAATTACTGCCAAATGAGCAAAGTGATTTGGTCAATAGTAGATATACAGAGACTATATGGGACCTCTTTTATACCTACCTAAGATACGATATTTATTTCTGACCCAAATTACCTTAAATTAGTTAAACTAATGAGCATTCAGGAATATCTTTCTAACACTGAGTAATCAAAGTAAATTTTCATAATAATATTAAATATTCAAGTTTTAAATTACTTAACTGTAAAATTAAAAGCTAGTGAAGAATGAATATATTTCTCAAAATTCATATGTACATTTAATAATTCTGACTGTAGCTATGTTGCAATTCATTTTATTATATATAGTATTTATTTCATTATGTGTTACAGCGAATTATATCTTAGATGAAAATCTTGACTAATCCATCTTCATGTAGATATTTTTAATGATAGTATTTTTGATTATTTTAAATAATAGTAACAATCCTCTAGGCGTCTTACATGGGATATGCCATTTAATTTAACAAGCTTCGGGCATAGGCATTACTATTATCATTTTACAGGTGAGAAACTGAGGCGTAGAAAGGTTAAGTAACTTTCCCAGCGCCATACAATTAGAAAATGTCAGGGCCAGGGTTTATCAATTATTTCATATGTTCCTATTTAAAGATATAATGTGATTTTAAGTGGGTATCACGTGTAATAAATATTCTACTTTAAATAGATATTCTCAAGCTTAATTTCCATCTAAGTTTTAATTTACTTAAACAGCTCTCTAGGAAATTGATTGCCCAGGGGTTTATTGTGCACCTATATGCCAGGCATTCCATTTCATGCTGTAGTTCCCATCCTTAAGGAGCTTGTCGTCTAAGGGGAATGACTGACAAATGATTCTCTTGTAGTGTGATTTGAGCTATGTAATAAATGAACGCTGAAAGTGCCCTGAGAGCACAGAGGAGAAAATGGCTTGCCACATGCCAGGAGAGAGCAATTCCTTTAGAGGTAATATCTGAACTGTGTCTGAAAAGGCAGACTGGGGATTGATCAGAGAAGGCAGAGGACACTCCACGGAAAGATAGCTCCAAGCATGCGAAAGCATGTGGCCTATTTAACTGCAGTTAGCAGGAGGTACAGAACAGAATGCAGCCCCAGCACTGTCTGTCAAGTCTCATGTTTTACTGCAATGGGCCCCTGTATCTTCCCTACCACTATTCCCACTCTGTGTGAGCCCAACTCCAGCTGCTGAAGAGATTCCTCAGAAATCTTGGGTTCCTCTCATTCTCTCCTTTTCTAATCCAATCCAATCTCTAATCTCACATCTGAGCCTCAGATCCACCAATGATTTTGACCCTGCTGTCAGCTATGAGGAAACTGACAAGTGATGTCAAGCAACTTATTTAAGGCTATGAAGCTAATAAGTAGTAAGGTCTTAAACCTTGGTCCTCTCTTTCTACTATGCAGGCCCAATCCAAGTCTTCCTTTCTGCTTGATTCTTGATTATATGGAATCTTACTTGTAAGATCTAATTGCTAGTCCAAATACTGCATGTTTATATGACCTGTTTTGACCTAGTTAGTCTGACCAAGTTGCAACTCCTGCTTGTAGAATCCAGCGTTCAGCGTAAGTCTCTCCTATTTACACTGGACAAGATTGTCTTAGTATTACCTACTGCTTTGATCTGCTTAGATGGTGATTAGTCTTCAATGCCATCAGCTCTCCGTTGCCACCCTACCCAACCAGCTCATTCATCAGAACTTTTGTTGTTTCACCTGGGTCAGAGCAAAAGATGTTATCAGCCAATTGTGTGTGTGTGTGTGTGTGTGTGTGTGTGTGTGTGTGTGTAGCTCTTTTGTTAACCAAGGGATTTTAAGAGGGTAATTGATTTTGTTCTTCATTGACTTCTTGTTCTTCGCCTCATATAAGTCATTTGGAATATTGTGTTGTAAAAATAGATGTTAAGTGTATTTATGAGATAGGCAGGGCTTTTTTCTTTTTAATTAAATGAATAAATGCATTTTGTTCTCTATAGCAACAAAGATGATCATATTTTTTTAAGGACCAACTAATTTTAATTCTCTCGGTTTTGACTTCTTAAAAGTGATTTGATATCTTTATGTAAGGTTCTTAATAAACTTATCTGTGCCTTCTTTATCCATTTAGAATTGGCCTGCAAGGTGATGTAACTGATTCAAGGACGAATAGCTTCTTATATATTCTAGATATTCTCCCAAGGTAAAAACTTAGATTCCTATACAAGCTTACCTAAAATTTAAAACTTTGGATCTGGAAAAGTGGGATGTTTATCATTTTATGAGATTAGCAGCTTACGCATGCTGCCATCAGATACTGTGCATGTCCTTCATCTTCTTCTGTCATGACTAGTAGAGTAACTGCAAATGTTGGAAGCTTCACTGGTTGCTACTATAGTGAGTGACAGGGAATTACAGCCTCATAGCTAAATTCTGTTGCTTCTGCTCACATATTAATGCAAATGATGCTAATGTTAGTGAATGCTGTCGCCCATGGTCTGGAAACTTGTGCCAACCCTAGAAGCTGCCATTCTCTGTAAATGGTAGTCCTTTGAGTTGTGGTTCAGAGGCTCTGTGTTTCAACCCATGTTTTGAAATAAAGTTCAATAGAAATTAACATTTCAAATATTAACTTTATCAGGAGTGCCATGTTTATGGGGAAAAATGAATAAAATATGAATTGTCTCCATCCCTTATAAAATGAGTTTGGAAAATGACTTAACTCATATTTCCCACAAATAAGGATTTTCTTTACTTCTCCCTTCTTAGTAATGAGATGTTTGGAATTCCATTTGTTTTTTTTTTTTTTTAGATTACAAAAATTACCGAAGTATATTCTTTTAGAAAATGTTAAAGGTTTTGAAGTGTCTTCTACAAGGTAAAAAATATGTATTTGTCTTGTGTCCGTCTTAGACTTAGTATATTTTATAGTAGGAGCTGTTGAGAAATAAAGATCTTTAAAATAAACATGTACATTCTGACATTTTATACATGTTATATATTTTATTAATATTGACTTTGACTAGTTCATAATGTAAAGTATCACAAAGTTAGGTTCAACTGATTGTCTCCCATTTTGATATGTTTGAATTTTTCCAGAATGAGCACTCATGTTAATGAGAATGGTATTTCTCAATTGTAGCTGCTTATACTGGTGCCTCTTTCTTTAGAAGTAGGAATGTTTTCAGTAAGAACTGGCCCTGTTGACAAGCATTTTCTGTCCAACAGTTAGATGGAAGAAGCAGGAGCTGTGTCAGGGCCGTTTTAGGTGATAGCCTAGCTCAGAGAAAACATCCAAGTCCTTGATTCAGCTGCTGTCTATAACAGTGTTCCCTAATCTGATTTGCTCCGGATATAGTTCCATTCCCATAGCAAATTTATCATCAGTAGATTAGCGATTCTAACTCTCACCAGTTTGTATAAATTATCCAGCAGCTTTATTTATTTTATAGTAGAAATTATCTGTCTTTTTTTGAGAAATGTAATTTCTCAAGTACTGGACTTAATGAAGACCTATTATCATTCTCTTTCTAAGCAACTTGAGTGGAGTTACATATTTCACTTTAAATGAAGTTTTATGTATAATATTTATATAAGAAGCCCATTTCCAACCACAGGGTGAAAGCTTTTCTTTTTTCTTGCCTTTTATTTTTGTCTTTTCAGAGACCTGTTAATACAAACAATAGAAAATTGCGGCTTTCAGTACCAAGAATTTCTATTATCTCCAACCTCTGTAGGTACCACGATTATAAACTCTTATATAAATTTTCCCAAAGGGAATTTGTTTCAATAAAAAGAATGGATCTATTTTGGATAATATTATAGGTAAATCTTGAAATTAGTTCAGACATGGGTCTTACTTTCTAAAGAATGTAGTATAGGCATATAAATTCATTTATACATATTTTATGAAAAATATTTATTATATAGCTTGAAGCTTATAGAGAATTGATTTTCCTTTCCACACAGAAAATAAAGGATACTGTTTTTTGAAACTATGTGACATCTGGTATTTCCAAACTAGGCGTGCTATAGTTTAGAAATGCTTCAAAATAATCCAAAATAGAAAATAAATGAACATATAATAATTTTCTAATTACTTTTTTTGGTACATACTATTAGAACGCAAACATTGGGGGTTGGCCTGGTGGTGTAGTGGTTAAGTTCAGCATGCTCCACTTTGGCAGCCTGGGTTCGCAGGTTCAGATCCCGGGCACAGACCTATAGCACTCATCAAGTCATGCTGTGGCAGCGACCCATGTACAAAATAGAGGAAGATGGGCACAGATGTTAGCTCAGGACCAATCTTCCTCAAGCAAAAAGAGGAAGATTGGCAACAGATGTTAGCTCAGGGCCGGTCTTCCTCACCAAAAAAAAAAAAAATGCAAACATTGTTTCTCTTTTATGGGTAAGAAATTGGAGTAATTGGTTATGATAAGATACTTGGTAGATCTTTGATATTACGAGTATCACTGTCTATTTTTTCTTTTGTCATTGTGTTTGTTAGTCTCTTATCATCTTTAGCCCATTATACAGTTCTTTGCCCTGAAATTAAAGGAAAACCCATTTCAAAAGTTAGATGTACAACTGTGGGCATTGGCAATATATTGATCTCTGTAAGTTTATTTCATATTTATTGCCTTTTAACTCTTAAAATTTAGTGAATCCTCCTTTTTTTTTTCTTTATTGATGTTTTAATAGTTTATAACATTGTGAAATTTTGGGCTGTACATTTTTGTTTGTCCATCACCATATATATGTCTCCCTTCACCCCTTGTACCCACCCCTCACCCTCCACCCCCATTGCCCCTGGTAACCACAATACAGTTTTCTCTGTCCATGTGTTGGTTTATATTCCACATATGAGTGGGATTATACAGTGTTTGTCTTTCTCTTTCTGGTTTATTTCACTTAACATAATACCCTCCAGGCCCATCCATGTTGTTGCAAATGGGATGATTTTGTCTTTTTTTATGGCTGAGTAGTATTCCATTGTATATATAGACCACATCTTCTTGATCCAGTCATCGGTTGAGGGACACTTAGGTTGCTTCCACTTCTTGGCTATAGTGAATAATGCTGCAGTGAACATAGGGGTGCATAAGCCTCTTTGGATTGTTGATTTCAGGTTCGTTGGATAGATTCCCAGTAGTGGGATAGCTGGATCATAGGGCATCTCTGTTTTTAATTCTTTGAGGAGTCTCCATACCATTTTCCATAGAGGCTGCACCAGTTTGCATTCCCACCAGCTGTGTATGAGGGTTCCTGTTTCTCCACAGCCTCTCCAACATTTGTTGTTTTTTGTCTTGGTGATTATAGCCATTCTAACGGGCATGAGGTGATATCTTAGTGTTGTTTTGATTTGCATTTCCCTGATGATTAATGATGTTGAACATCTTTTCATGTGCCTATTGGCCATCTGTATATCTTCTCTGGAGAAGTGTCTGTTCATTTCCTCTGCCCATTTTTTGATCGAGTTGTTTTTTTTGTTGTTGTTCAGTTGTGTGAGTTCTTTATATATTATGGAGATCAACCCCTTGTCAGATATGTGTTTTGCAAATATTCTCTCCCAGCTGGTGGGTTGTCTGTTCATCTTGATTCTGGTTTCATTTGTCTTATAGAAGCTCTTTAATCTGATGAAGTCCCACTTGCTTATTTTTTCTTTAGTTTCCCTAGTCTGGGTAGGCATGTCATCTGAAAAGATTCCTTTATGACCAATGTCATATAGTGTGTTGCCTATATTTTCTTCTATGAGTTTTATAGTTTCAGGTCTCACCTTCAGGTCTTTGATCCATTTTGAGTTAATTTCTGTAAATGGCGATAGCCGATGGTCCACTTTCATTCTTTTGCATGTGGCTGTCCAGTTTTCCCAACACCATTTATTGAAGAGACTTTCCTTTCTCCATTGTATGTTCTTAGCTCCTTTGTCAAAAATTAGCTGTCCATATATGTGTGGTTTTATTTCTGGGCTTTCAATTCTGTTCCCTTGATCTATGTGTCTGTTTTTGTACCAGTACCACGCTGTTTTGATTACTATTGCTTTGTAGTATGTTTTGAAGTCAAGGATTGTGATGCCTCCAGCTTTGTTCTTTTTTCTTAGGATTGCTTTAGCTATTCGGGGTCTTTTTTTACCCCATGTGAATTTTAGTATTCTTTTTTCTATTTCCATGAAGAATGTCATTGGGATTTTTTTTTTATTGATGTTTTAATAGTTTATGACGTTGTGAAATTTTGGGTTGTACATTTTTGTTTTGAATCCTCTTTTTTTAATAAAATGAGGTAATAATAACCAAGAATAGTGATATTTGAATTTTATTTTTTTATGATTACTTTATTATCAATAATGAATGTAAAAATGTCCATATAACTTCTTGAAAAATATAAAATGAAAGTGACTCATAGACATATAATTCATCAGATTCAGTCTTTATTTCATTCAAATAAAGATAGAAGCGGCAGTTTAAAAGGTTTAAGAATTTGCTGCAAAGAAATCTTCCACAAATCAATAACAGAATTTTTTCTAGCAGAAGCGAAATGTATACCTATATGAGTCTTTTTACGAGGTGCTGACAGTTGATAGAGATCTTTTTAATTTCCTGTAGTAACTCACTGCTTTGCTTTACTTGCAGCTTGGCATTCCAAATTCCAGGCTACGGTATTTCCTTATTGCAAAGCTTCAGTCAGAACCATTACCCTTTCAAGCCCCTGGTCAGGTATTGTTATTATTGTTATTGTTTTCATTATTATTATTATTATTATTATTTATCTATTGTAAATATATCTCAGTCTGCTAATTTGTTTCAAGAACTACCTTGTGGAGGTTTATATGTGTCCTAGAGAGCCCATAATACAGACCATGCCCCAGCTCTATCTCCTACGCCTTTTTCCTCTCCTGATGCCACTTTTATTGCTTTAAATAAAACAAAAACTTTTCTTTCATCATTAGAAAAAAAATAAGTTAATAGTAAAAAAAAATTACCATTAGTGCTGTTATCCTTCTTTTCCCCCTATAATTTCCCTTCTGACCATTGACTATTTTGCACCTATCATTTTTCCCCCCAATAGAAGCTATTGACTACTTTTGATAAAATTCAATTATACTATCGTAAAAATGGCTTAAGAGTATTTTAACACACTGGTTGCATTTTCTTTGAAGCCAATGCTATTTAGCCTTAATTGATTAAAATATAGTAATGATTAGTACAAGCTAGGATAAAATGCTCAATTGCTATAGATAGGATCTCTAATTATGCAAGCAGTTGTATATGCTTCTGTCAGAAATTGGTGTGGATAACAGAGGGTTTCAGTGGTTTAGTGAAGCTCTCCATAACCATCACAGGTAAGAACTCAAAAGTCATGTCCCACTAACAGGGGGTCGGTAGTGTCGTTTGAAAACCCGTACAGTGCAATACTAATACATCTCCCTTTCCGTAGTGGGCAATTCCAAAAGCAACCTATCAAGTGTATAAACAAACACTTCATCATTAAAAATTCCTGGAACTGTTTTTCTTTTACAGAATAGGGCTTTAGACATGGTTACATGTTTTGCAGGAACAAGTTTTTCCAATGGGGCTGAGGAGTAGAAATAACCTTTCAGGGTGAAAAGTGCTTTTCTTTTTTTAACTACTAGTTTTCTTTAGACCATGGGTGTGTTCCAGTTTTTCTTTGTTAATGAAGGGGTATGGCAAACTTTGATCCCAAACACATTTTCTAGAAGTGTTAATGTTGCTTTCTAAACTTTTTTTCCAAATATGATGCTGTATCTATATTCAACATACTTCCTATTGTTGAATGTTTGTAGTAATAAATACAGAAGACTAACTCCATGAAATAAATCATCTGTAGCTTGATGACACTATAGCTGTGTGATGCATAACTTGTATAAATACAAGTAAACCACAATTTCTATCTTTTTAACGACAGCTCTGTAAAGGCTAAAGAGATTTTTTTGCATAACGTTGTATGGACATTATTAATTTGTCTTTTATTTTTAATAAAGCTTTTGAGAATTTGTGTATTTTTACTTAATGCCAGGTACTGATGGAGTTCCCCAAAACTGAATCTGAACTTCCACAAAAACATGCAATAGATGCAGAAAATAAAATTGAAGGAAAGAGAATTGAAGCAAATATTTGCTCTGATAGCAGCAGACCAGGTTCTGGAAAAGAAGCCATTCTTTTTAAGCTTGAAACTGCAGAAGAAATTGACCGGAAACATCAACAGGACAGTGATCTCTCTGTGCAAATGCTAAAAGGTTTTCTTGAAGATGACATTGACGTGAATCAGTACTTTTTACCGCCAAAGTCATTGCTGCGATATGCTCTTTTGTTAGACATTGTTAAGCCCACTTGCCGAAGGTCCACGTGCTTTACGAAGGGGTAGGTTTTAAAGAGACTCTATTCATAGTATATCCAAAATAACCAGGTGTTTATAGCTGTTGTTTCTCTTAGTTCTTCTCAAAACAAGAAGCATTTTGTAAAATGTTTGTGCCAGAATGATTTTTTTCGCCCTTAATTGCCTGCTTTCGTGTTCCAAAAGAATGCACGAGTGAAAATTCCTTCTGGCAGAACATTATGGGCACAACCCACACAATTGCTCATAAAAGACAATGCCATTTGTTTGGTGACCTTCATAGGAGCTTCATTACCCATGATGGAAACATGGCTTCTATAGATGGTGCATTGCTAATTTTTTAGCACCTTTCTTATTGTGGCACATCAGACCTCAAAAATTTATGTGCACTCTCATGATCAATGTATAAGGAGAAATTAAATATTAAAATCAAGAAATAAAATTGAATCATCTGGTACATGTTAGAGCATATTTAAATTTATTCAGTTTTTTAATTAAGTTAAATATTATCATGGTTCAGAATTCAAAAGGTACTAAGATTATAAGACTCCCTTCCACTTCTGTCTCTGGACATCCAGTTTCCCTCCCTACATGCAACCAATGATTTCAGTTTACTGTCTAATCACACAGAGGTATTATATGTGAGGGTGTATTTAAATGTATACATATATTGTTACCCCCCCCCTTTAAGTAAATGGCAGCATACTATATCCATTATTATGTGCCCTTTATTTCATTGCACAATACAAATTGGATATTACTGCATATGAGTACATGAAGAATTTTTCTATTCTCGTTGTATAGGTATATCATAATTTCTCTTACTGGCTACCTTTGGGTTATTTCTTGAATATTAATATGGTTTTCATTAATTTTTTAAAACCTGGAAAGAAGGGAAAAATTAGGCCTTTCCAGAAAATTTTGTAAAAGATCCCTATCTCTGCTTTGTTAATACCACTGAACCTCATTTGATAAGTAGTTGTATGATTTGAAACTTCAGGCCTTCTGTTTTTACCTACTAGGTAGCTGTCTTGCACAGGACACTATGTCGCTGATACAACCATAGCAGACTCATGCTGATTTTTTCATACTCTGCCCTGTACTTCCAAGGGAATGGGTTTATTGCTTTCCATTACCTTGAAAGACTTCACTTGGCTGTTGTCTATTTCCAAGTCCGATAGGTTCTGTTTAGGACTCTCATAAAAAAAAGACTTATCAATTTTGTAATAAAAAACAACCTTGAAATTCTTTTGTAATTACAAAGATGGTATAAAAGAAGCCTTACTGTACAAGTCTATTTTAGTGTAGATAATATAAACATACACAGACACACACACACACGTATATGATATATGAGAAAACAATTTGAAAAGAATTTTCCCTGGTATGACTTTCTTTCTCTAATTTAGGTTTAAATCGATCTTTTAGGGAAAAATAATGATAATATGTTGAACAGCCAGCTTGGCAATGATCTGAGAGGAAGAAATATTACTAATACTTTGCATTTCTGTAGTGTTTTATACTTTTAATACAATTTTTATACAATGGTCTCATTGTATCAAGAATAAAACATACTGCATTACAGTAAGAGGCAGACGCATGTTCAGTGGACCCCTGTTTGTCATGGTACTGGAGAGTAGGGTTTTGGGTTCATGAGAAGAAGTGATGGTTCAGGCATTATAAAAAAATAGCAGCAATTTATTTTCACCTACATCGCGTTTGGTTGAATGTGGCAGAGATGCTAATATTGAACAGCATTTGGATATAAAGTCATAACAACTGCATACTTTCTAGTGATGAACATTAAAAAAATGACATTGCATAGAAATGACAATTGATAATACATAATTCAAAATGATATTTACACAACTCGAAAAACTATGCCAGGCTTAGTGTCTGAGAAGTTTAAATAGAATGATCTTATGTCTTTGACCCAGTAGTTTTTCAATTACAAAACATATTTATTTGATATTATTCAGAATATTTCAGAAGGATGTAATGGTGTAGACTGATTAATCATTCAAGAAATATTTAAGAAATTTAGTATTAACAAATACATTAAATGCTGCATAATATTCGTGTTAATTTTTCAGTTACGGAAGCTACGTAGAAGGGACAGGATCTGTGTTACAGACTGCAGAGGATGTGCAGGTACTGTGCATGCTTCAGAAATAAAATATTTGAAAATTACTTTAAATAAAATTATGTTTAATACTTAAAATTTGAGAATGTTAAAATAATTTTACATGTTCAACTGGGAATGAGTGTATATATTATCCATTCATATATATATTCATATATATAATAATTCTTTACTATAGAATAAATCTTTTCTTGTTGCTGGATATGAGTTTATGTACAAAGTATGTTTTATGTTTTTACTTTCTTTTTTCTCATTCTTACCTTTGTATTTCTTTTCATTCCATAAAGAGTAAATTGAAATGCAACGTACAATAGTTAATGTTCTCTAAAATTATGCACAAATATCTTAATATTGGAGACTTCCTTTGGAGCACATACTATAAAACTGCCTTTTAGGGAAATAAATCTGCATTTTGGCAAGGCCCTTTATTGATACTTCAACTGCAAACTCTTCATGGTATCATGGTTGAATACAAGTTTGATATATTGCAAGTTTTATACTTTTGAATAATTTTGAAGTGAAATCACGTTATCTTCTTTTATACTGATTTAACCTCTTACTATTAATAAAATTTACCCATGATAAAAATCCCATCAGGGCCAAATGAATGTCTGGATTTGAGAAATTATATTTACTAAATATATTTTATCATTTTAAGAAAATATCTTCATTTGATGAAATTATTCATAAGCAGTAAAACTTCTAATGATCTACTTGTTAGCATTGTAGAATTATGTTTCTTTTTTGTGTCTTTCACTATATTTCTTTTATATTGTCATTTGTTGTTTATATCCTTGTGATTTTGAGGGATCAAAAATGACAAATACACTGAAAATATCCTGATCTGGTCAACATTAAGCTTTTGTTTGTTTTCAAAGTCTACATTGCCACTGATGAGCCAATTACATAGTTCATTGCACAGAAACATTTTGCCCTGTGCATTTTCCTACCTACCATGTGTTACAGCAGACTGTATGTCCATCATTTTTAAATTGTCCCAATTTAATAGTTTTTTAATAACAATAGGTAACAATAGCAATAGGTAATTTAATAACAATGGATGATCTTATCTTACCGCATCTAATTGCACTCTACTTTATCAGTTATCTTGGATGTTTTCTTACAGATTGAGAATATCTACAAATCCCTTACCAATTTGTCACAAGAAGAAAAGTTAACAAAATTGTTAATGCTTAAACTTCGATATTTCACTCCTAAAGAAATAGCAAATCTCCTAGGATTTCCTCCAGAGTTCGGTATGTAGGATACATGCAGAGCCCAGCTTTCATTTATTAAAGGTCTCAGAATTCATCAGGGACTCATGTGTGTACTTTATGAATCAACCCTCGCCCAGACAGACGGATGTAAGAAACTGTCTTCCTTTCTTGACTGTGCCATTTTTGACATTTTCCTTCCCTCCTCTTTCTGCTTTCCTTCATGACCTGCCTCAGTCCCTCCCCTTCAGACACAATCTCCCTTTACTCCAGTAATGGTCCTGAGTGGTTTTCGGGGGCAGAAGGGCCAAATCAGCAATTCCTCACCTCTCCCCACAGATGCTTGTTAACCGCGTTTCCATCTCCACCTTCTTTTCTTGCTTCCAGAGGGCCTGTTCTAATAACCCCACGATAGACCTTATGAGAGAATGCCTAGGATTGTCTTGTGTTATCAAGAAATTAAAAGGTGGTTGAGGAATTGATTTATTTTTTGGTGTGGGCAGTTGTGTTTGTATGTATTCTCCTCAAAGATACATTCTTGCCAATTATGTGCCTTTGTCCTTCCCTACGAGGTGTGAGTGGGGAAAAGAGAAGGTGGAGAGGTGGTGGAGGAAGGAGCTTTCCTCACGGAAAGAAAAGGGGACTCAGGAGCACAGATGCCAGACTTGACCAAAGATTAGGGACCTGAAGAACAAAATGAAGATACAGTTGTAGAGTGAGAAAGACAAAATCCTCACTCCTTTGCAGTCCAGGAAATCCAGGGACCGTTGCTGTTAAGAGGTTGGACACATTGCCTTTGCTTCACAGAGCAGCCCGGGCCCCTCCCTGATCCCTCTTCCTTAGCACAAATCCTCTCCGTGTAAGGGAGCCATCAGCTTCTTAGGCTGGCGTGAGTGTGTTCCCAGTACCTGGCTCGTGGGAAGCGGGGAACACAGACCTCCCTAACACGCTTCCAGGGCTGCACAAGGAGGAAATGTGTTTTTGATAACTCTGGGAGTTTGAATGCAGAAAAGCCAAACGTTGCTAATCCAGTGTTGTTGTAATATTAACGCAATACTGTTCTTGAAGTACATAATGGGTTAAATAGATCATGTTTTAAATTCTAAATAATAAATTTACAGATGAAGTTTTGGAACACATCCTTTTGTATGTTGGGAACAAACTGTCAATATAATTTGACTACCCTCTTGGTAGTTGATTCTCCGAGTGTAGTCATGGCAACCAGGTTTATTTTGTACTCTCGGCCTTTTTCTCAGTGATCTCATTCAGTCACAAATATCCTGGGGTGTGTTATTTAAGAAAAACACAGACTTTCCATGTCTTACTTTATGTCACAAAGTAAGTGAGAACATCATAAAACAAATAGAGCTGAGAATTGGACTCAATTTAATTCCCAGTCTGCCTTCCTGATCACTATTTTTTTTTCTTTTTTAGGATGAGCAATCAAAGGTACTTTCCATAGTACTAAAGAGAGAAAAGAGGTTCTAACAACAACTAATTCCTAAGTTTTATTTGAGCGCTTATTTTTTCTAGGAGTAGTAGTCCCTTTAGTAATACTGGAACGCAGCACGGACCCCAAAGTCGGACTGGCTGAGTTTGAATCCTCTCTCTACCTCAACCACTCTCTGCCTTAGTTTACGCATATGCGAAATGGGGACAATTACAACTTCATAGGGTGGTTGTGACAGTTAAGTGAGTGACCATATGTGAAATGTTTGCACACTCTCTGACACATCATATACAATTGCGTTAGCTTTTATTTTTTAAATGCTAGACATTATTTGCTTTTATAGCCTTTACTTCATGAATATTTTTTCTCATTATTTTAAAGTTTTAGATGGGTAAAATAGTATTTTTCAAAGCGCTCTGAAAATGTCTGTATAATACATGCAAGAAAGGCTCTTTTAGTTGCTTGCCTTTCTTTTGGAATGTGTGGCATATTTGCATAGTGCCCTGATGGCACCACTGAGCAGCACGGTGACAACTGCCCTTCATGTGTGCTTCCGGCATTATTGACTCTGGGTCCCAAATGGGCTTTGCTTGAGCTGCTGGTCCACTGGCGATGATGGATTTACATTGATCCCTCTGTGCATTTTGTCCTGTTCTCTTTGTGACTAGTGGCATGCATTCGTGAGAAAGCGGGCTTTGGAAGAGAAGGATACTAAGCTACACTTACTGAATGAAAGCTGCTATCTTGATCTTGTTAATTCTATGTTTCTTTGTTTTTGAGGATTATTATTTTTAGTGTACCTAAGTTTTTAAAAAGTCCCTTTTTTTTTTTGAGGAAGATTGGCCCGAAGCTAACATCTGCTGACAATCTTCCTCTTTTTCTTTTTTTTCCCTCCCCAAAGGCCCAGTACATAGTTGTATATCCTAGTTGTAGGTCCTTCTAGGTATTCTATGTGGGACGCCGCCTTAGCATGGCTTGATGAGCGGTGAGTAGGTCCATGCCCAGGATCCAAACCAGTGAACCCCAGGCCACCGACACAGAACACGCAAACTTAACTGCTACGCCACCGGGCCAGCCCCAAAAAGTCACTTTTTAACTTAAAAAATTATGTGATTTTTTTTCCATAAGCTAGTTTAGATTTTAATATCTATACCTATGTATAAAATACACATGCACGCACATGCGCACTCACACACACACACACACGCACACACATATAAAATTTTTACAAATCTGACTTGTTTGTTTTCAGACCTTTCTTCCCCTCTGATGTAATCTACAAAAGATCATCCCTGGGATATTCTAAAAGTCTGTTTATACATATAGTTGTACCTCTGGCTACTTTGAACTAAATCATTTTTGAGATGACTAATGTGCTTGCCTGAGACCTATTGTATTTATAATAGCAATTTTATGATTATGCTCTATTGCAAATAGAGTTTTATTAGGGTAATCACTGTTGTTTTATTGCAGTAAGTATGATGTCACGTGTGGTGAAGCAGCTTTATCAACTCTACCTTCTGATCATCACAAGTATATGAAATCTTGCTATTTTTAATGCTCTTTAATTATTTCCTTCATTTTATTATCTAATTTGCTTTTTGTTTATTTAATTGCTATGCCAAAAGATACTGAATGTGAAATTCTGACATTGTAACTAACATTAAAGTGTACACTCTTATGTATGGACAATCTTTTATGTTGATATTTGCAAGGCTTTGTTCCAGCAAATGTAGTATCTGTGGGCCATTTTGTTGTGAAACAGAATGTAATGAATAGAAATTCAACAGCAGAAAGTCAATTTGTGGAAGCAGAATATAAAAAACAACTGTGAGGGACTTGTATCCATAATATATAAAGAGCTCTTACAATTCAACAATAAAAAGAAGAATCCAATGTAAAAATGGGCAAAGGATTTGAATAGACATTTCTCTGAAGAATACAGACAAATGGCCCAAGAGCACATGAAAAGATGTTCAGTATCACTAGTTATTAGTTACATGTAAATCAAAACCACAATAAGATACCACTTCACAAAAACACAATGAATAACAGGATTGACAAAGATATGGAGAAATCAGATTCCTTGTACACTGCTGATGGGAATATAAAATGGTACAGCTGCTTTGGAAAATAGTCTGGCAGTTCCTCAAATGTTAGACATGGAGTTACTGTAGGACCCAGCAATTTCACCCCTAGGTATATATGCAAGAGAATCGAAAACATACATCCAGACAAAAACTTATACATAATGTTTATAACAGCATTATTCATAATAACCAAAAAGTAGAAACAACCCAAACATCTATCAATGAATAAATGGATAAATAAAATGTGGTATATCTATACAATAGAGTATTTATTCAGCCATGAAGAGGAATGAAGTGTTGGTACATACTATAACATGAGTGAACTTTGAAAACATTATGCTAAGTGAAAGAAGCCAGAAAAAAAGACAGCGTACTGTATGGTTCCATCCAAATGAAATGTTCAGAATAGGCCAATGTATAGAAACAAAAAGTAGATTAGCGGTTGAGGCATAGGGAGGGGAAATGAGGAGTGACTACTAATGGGTACCAGCACCCTTGCTTGCTTGTTTTGTTTTATAGAGGCATAATTGACATATAATATTGTATTAGTTTTAGGTGTACAACATAATGATTCCATGTTTGTATACATTGTGAAATGATCACCACAGTAAGTCTGGTTAACATCTGTCACTAGTTAACAATTTTTTTTCTTGTGACAAGGACTTTTAAGATCTATTCTCTTAGCTACTTTCAAGTATGCAATGCAATATTATTAACTATAGTCACCATGCTGTACATTACAGCCCATGACTTATTTATTTTATAGCTTGAAGTTTGTGCCTTTTGACCCCCTTTCACCCATTTCGTCCACCCCTACCTGTCCTCTGGCAACCACCAATCTGTTCTCTGTGTCTATGAGCTTGGTTTTTTTTGTTTGTTTTTAGATTTCACGTGTAAGAGGGATCATAAGGTATTTGTCTTTCTCTGTCTGACTTATTTCACTTAGCATAATGTCCTCAAGATTCATCCACGTTGTAGTATGTGTCAGAATTTCCTTCCTTTATACAGTTGAATAATATTCCATTGTATATGTGTGTGTGTGTATATATATATATATATATATATACACTGTATTTTCTTTATTCATCCATTGATGGGCACTTAGGTTGTTTCCATATCTTGGCTATTGTAAATAATACTTCAATGAACATGGGAGTACATATATCTTTTAAAATTAATGTTTTTGTTTTCATTAGATAAATAGAAGTGGAATTGCTGGATTATATGTTAGTTCTGTTTTTAATTTTTTGAGGTACCTGTGTACTATTTTCTGTAAGTGACTGAATCAACTTATATTCTCACCAACAGTGCACAGTGTCCCCTTTTCTCCACATCCTTGCCAGCAGTTGTTATTTCCTGTCTTTTTGATAACAGCCATTCTAACAGGTGTGGGGTGATATCTGTTGTGGTTTTGCTTTCATTTCCCTAATAATTAGTGATGTTGAGCATCTTTCCATGTACCTGTTGGCCATCTCTATGTCTTCTTTGGAAAAATGGCTATTTAGATTCTTTGCCCTTTCTTTTTGTTTTGTGAAGAAGATCAGCCCTGAGCTAACATCCATGCCAATCCGCCTCTTTTGTGTGTGTGTGTGAAGAAGATCGGCCCTGAGCCAACATTGGCCAATCCTCCTCTTTTTTTGCTGAGGAAGACTGGCCGCGGGCCAACATCCATGCCCATCTTCCTCTACTTTATAAGGGACGCCGCCACAGCATGACTTGACAAGCGGTGCGTTGGTGCGCGCCCAGGATCCGAACCGGCAAACCCTGGGCCGCCTCAGCGGAGCGTGCACACTTAACCGCTTGCGCCACCGGGCCGGCCCCTCTTTGCCCATTTTTTAATCAAGTGGTTTGCTTTTTTTACTGTTGAGTTGTGTGAGTTCTTTATGTATTTTGTATATTAACCCTTTATCAGGTATATGATTTGCAGATATTTTCTCCCATTCAGTAGGTAGTCTTTTCATTTTGTTGATGATTTCCTTTGCTGTGCAGAAGCCTTTTACTTTGATGTAGTTCTACTTGTTTACTTTTGCTTTCGTTGTGTTTGCTTTTAGTGTTAGATCCAAAAAATCATTGCCAAGACTGATGTCAAGGAGCTTACCACCTATATTTTCTTCAAGGAGTTTCATGGTTTCAGGTCTTAAGTTCAAGTCTTTAATCCATTGTGAGTTAGTTTTTGTGTCCATTTTCATTCTTTTGCATGTGGCTGTCCAGTTTTCCCAGCAGCATTTATTGAAGAGACTGTCTTTTTCCCACTGTATATTCTTGGCTCCTTTGTCATAGATTAATTGACTATATATGCGTGGATTTATTTCTGGGCTGTATTCTGTTCCACTTTGTCATAGATTAATTGACTATATATGCGTGGATTTATTTCTGGGCTGTATTCTGTTCCATTGATCTATGATTCTGTTTTTATGCCAATACTATACTGTTTTGATTACTGTAGTTTTGTAATATAGTTTGAAATCCAGGAGCATGATGCCTCCAGCTTTGTTATTCTTTGTCAAGATTGCTTCACTATTCAGGGTCTTTTGTGGTTCTATATAAATTTTAGGGTCATGTGTTCTATTTTTGTGAAAAATGTCATTGTAATTTTGATAGGTATTGCATTGGTTCTGTAGATTACTTTGGATAGTATGGACATTTTAATAGTATTGATTCTTGCAATCCATGAGCATGGACTATCTTTCCACTTGTTTTTATCTTCTTCAGTTTCTTTCATCAGTTTCTTATAGTTTTCAGTATACAGATCTTTTACCTCGTTGGTTAAATTTATTCCTAGGTATTTTATTCTTTTTGAGGCAATTGTAAATGTGACTGTTTTCTTAATTTCTCTTTCTGATAGTTCATTGTTAGTGTATAGAAACACAACAGATTTTTGCATATTGATTTTGTATCCTGCAACTTTACTGAATTCGTCTGTTAGTTCTAACAGTTTTTTGGTAGAATCTTTAGGGTTTTCTATATATAATATCATATCACCTGCAAATAGTAATAGTTTTACTTCTTCCTTTCCAATTTGGATGCCTTTT